ATTACCCTGTTCTGAGGTCAAATTTTTTGGGATAGCTCAGCATTTCAGTCGGACTTGCTGTATCTACAATTGTATTCAACACCATAGCTAAAAATGAGTCCACTGACATTGGCGTTACTGTCAACTCTGCTGGCACCAATACGCCCCATTTCGCACAGCTTAAGGGTTATAGATAGTGTTGCCACAGCTCCAGCTTGTGGCCAGCTTTAGCCATGAGTGGAGCTGTAGGTAGCCAAGCCGTGTATGTAGTTATAGCTTATGTAATTAGTAGCTTGGTCTAGTCAATGGAGCCGCATTTAAGGTCTTCAAGCTGGCTCAAGCCAGCTCTAGTAGAATAATAATAATAATAATAATAATATATATATAATATTGTGCTTAAATGATACACAAGTCTATGCTCTCGATATGCGGTGTCTTACTAGGATGTGAAAGGCAAGAAAATCACCAAATTTCACAATCCTCCACGGTCAACGGTTCAGACAATTACCAACGGTTGATAACGTGGTCGTTCGTGGGGGACGAGATGTGTTGAATTGTTCAAGCGAACGCTAGTGATGTAAAAGAGGCAAAGAACAATAGAAACAATAGTAGCACAAGGTAGTGCTATAAACTTCAGAATAATATGTTGCAGCTGTATGCAATGAGCTTGAACTTTAATACATATCCCTCTTGGATATATCTTACTTATACTCAGCAATGGAGAACAAATTCACTAGCGGGATCGTCCCAATATATGGCCTCGAAACCAACTCTCTGCTGCTCAGGATCTCACAATGAGTAATGACGCAGTCCAGAATAGAGTACACCTTCTTGATGTAGTCTTAAGTGGGCAAGCTCTTGATATTCGTTGACAGATTGTAGGTCTTATTTGTGTCTACCCTAATTGATGAATAATACGTATAATTCTCCCCACAGAACTTTTCCTGTATCTAAAAGAGAACTAGAATAAAGGATGATTATGTAATCAAAGATGGCTCAAGAATGTGGCCAAATACTTCTGAAGAATGTGTGAAGAATAATGTCAAAGATGTGGAGCAAATAAACTAATATTTTCTCCTAATAATCACTTGAATGTTCACTCAAATAGTAGGGGCTAAGAATCTTAGGGGTGAAAGAATGTTCCCCTGTGTTCCCCTATAAACTTTGTCTCACTCTGATAATACTTGGGAATCAAATTGATTGCTTCACAAGAGGGGAAAATGAGCCCCTTATATACTACTAGACTAGTGGCTGTGCTACTGATTACTAATGTACTATAGAATATTCCAGAATGTTTGAGAAAGAACAATAGAATCTTATAGAATGTCATGGAATGTTATGGAATGATTAGTAAGATACTCATAGAATGTTCTAGAATACTCAGCAAAGGCTGTGCTACAGGTCCTTCTAGCACTGCCTAATTGCTGTGCATTTGATAACCAATCCTTTGTCCAACCAATCACATAAAATGGATTTTCTTACTAATTATCACCTACTGACATTGTTCAAATATTGAGATGATAATGTAAAAAAATGTTAAGATGTTGTATATGTCTCATGAGATGTGAAAATGTGTGAGAAAATTATGAAAGGTGTGGGAAATTGCTGACTAATGAAAAATTAAGGGTTTTGACACTGATTTGTGTGCAAGATAAGTATTTAATTTGAACCGCTAAGCCGTAGTTTGATGATACATGCTCAGAAATGTCCAAATTAAATTGAAGTAAGGTATCGAAAATTCAGGGGATGTTCATAGACTAAAGTAAGGACTAGCATGTGTCATAAATTTACCATGACCATATATGAAACAGGTTTCGTGCGTGTCAGTGGTGGCTTCTTTAGTGGTGAGAGAGGATGAGAACGGATGTATTGCGCTTGACGAGAATGTACTACAGACAATCAGTAGCGGGTGCTAATAGAAACAAATTTACCGGTACAGGCTCATGTTTTGGGATACCTGGTGAAGATGAAGCTGAAACGATACGAGCCGTACAGTCCTCCATACCTGGGGGTGTTGGAGGAGATGCTGTTGATGCCGGAGACGTTGATGTTGAATAACTCGGTGACGGTGTGTCTGGCGATGTGGGTGGTGTGATGTAGGAAGAGTTGGGTGGAGGGAAATCAGGCTTTGGCGGTGAAGGATAACAATGGCCATATGTAGGTGTAGGTGCCAAAGTGGCTGGAGGAGGTGGGAAGGGATTCGTGGTAGGAGGAGGGGTTGTCTTTGATGATGAGGGAAGAATGTAAGTCGGGTAAGGTCCTTGACCTACGAAATACTTCTTGACCATGTCCTCAAACTCCCTAAGTGTCACTGGAGATAGATGGCCTAGTTCAATGTGTCAGCACACCCGTTCGGAGAAGCACTCATGCCACGCACCATCCCATAGAAGTGAAGATCTGCACAAGACACACCCTTCTGATAGGTTTGTTTCATTGAGTTGAGGGCTGGATGTTGATGGTGCGGAAGAGTATTCGTGTGAACGAGTGAACGTAGGAGCTGGAATGGAAGGGGCGATAGATGTGATGCTTGATGGGCGGGACATAGGCGGGAAATAGGTGGCGGGGAGACATTGAGAATGAATGAGAATGTAGGAAGATTAACACACCTTGTAGTAGGCCTGATATGGGACATTAGAAGGTGAATTCATAGCTCAGCTGAGCAATTGGATATACAAACTGTCTGTGAGGCAACTGGTGGTGAGGTGAACATGCCGTGCATCCAAGTAGCGTAACCTGTGAGGGTAGTTGCACAAGAAAATCTAAGACGCCCATCGGATTGATGATGACTAAAGTGAGCGCCCTCTCACAGGCCAAGAATAAGTTACTAAAAATAGATTATCGACTTCATCTACCACCAACAAAGCAATATCATAGCAATCTACTACTAGTCTACTACTGGATCTACACTCATCGTCCATCAACACATAACTAATCAAGTACCTATGGGTCCCCAAGATGACGTACGTGGTCCGATGAATGTTCAATCAAAAACTAAAGCAAATGTTAGTTGTACTGCAGTATTGTTCGCGCACGACACTTACGAGAGCAATGGATGACTGAGCGGCAGCACAGAGCCGCAAGACAGAGAGTCGGAGGAGAGGAGAGGAGAGGAGAGGAGAGGAGAGGAGAGGAGAGGAGAGGAGAGGAGAGGAGAGGAGAGGAGAGGAGAGGAGAGGAGAGGAGAGGAGAGGAGAGGAGAGGAGAGGAGAGGAGAGGAGAGGAGAGGAGAGGAGAGGAGAGGAGAGGAGAGGAGAGGAGAGGAGAGGAGAGGAGAGGAGAGGAGAGGAGAGGAGAGGAGGAGAGGAGAGGAGAGGAGAGGAGAGGAGAGGAGAGGAGAGGAGAGGAGAGGAGAGGAGAGGAGAGGAGAGGAGAGGAGAGGAGAGGAGAGGAGAGGAGAGGTCAGATGCCGGGGAGATCAAGGTGGCGGATATTGGTTGTGAGGATGTTGGGGAGGCAGGAATAGAAGCGGCTGTTGTAGGGAGAGCCGTATGGATTAGAAAGTGCCTGTACACAATTGTGCCAATGATTACTCACTTGAACAGCTCTGGGGATGACGGCTGGGTGTGATGTGCATGTACGTTCAGCATGTGGACGTAGACCTTCCATTGCTGGTCCTTCGCTTTGAGACCACAACAAATTCCTAGCCACCTGCTCTCTGTAGTGTCACTGAGTCAACATCAACAGGAAGTTTATGGATGAAAATACAACTTACGATAATCCGTGCAATTCGAGCAGGAAACCAGTTCTTTGTATGCACCTTAGAATGGGAACCACACATCCGTGCCATCCATGCAATTCGAGCAGGAAACCAGTTCTTTGTATGTGCCTTGGAATGGGAACCACACCTCCAAATTGCATTTCTTTGACACTGCGAGGTTCAGTGCGCCACTGATGATTGCCACTACATGGTAAGAGAGACCCAAGCTCTGATAAGATGCTTGGACAGACATCTGCAATGTTTGATGAGTGTTGGCGCACTGCAAAGTGTGAGTAGGTGATTAGCCAGTACTTGTAAAGACTGATAGAGCACTTGGCCTGTTGAGATGAAGCGCAGGCTGTCAAGGAAAAGCAAATAAATAAACAAGTTCACAATTGCAAACAGCCAGGCAGCTAGAACACATAAAGATAGGGCAAACAAGAGATAAAAATCAAGTAGGGAAAGCATACATCATATCTCGTAGGTAGTAGGAGAATCATTGATGTCGTCACACTCCTCCTCTGTGATAGCTCTGAGAAGAGTGTCACATACATCACCTGTAATGCCACTGTTAGTTAATGTCAAAAAAATGTTGGATTCCTTTCATTCGTGCAACATCTTGTACTCCATATCCTTCTGCAATGCCGCCCCAACCTTTGGTAAAGTTGAGTTGCTCTTTTTTCAGGAGGAACTTTACCACCTGCAGAGCCTCCATCAGGACCGGGTTCGTGCGATTATGTTTCTTTGTGTCGGTTTTGCTACTAGATGAAAAAAACTCGCTCACATGGAACAGCAGAGGCCTGTATTGGGAGATAGTCCATTGCAATGCCGAAAATTGTCGGAAATGATGTCTGTGCAACCTGGTCAACACCTCGTGGTCAATGACAAAAGGTATAACATATGGAGACGCAGGACACTCACCTCCCAGAATGCAAGTATGTCTGTTGTCTTGGGGCTAAGATTAGCCGTAGCATAGGCCTCAAACTCTTGCTCAACCATTTGGGCACTGCTGTCATGACACAGCAGGACATTGATATCAGGTAGTCCATAGAGGTGCAAGCCTAGCGTGCATGGTTGTTGTCGAAGTACTACTTCATTAGCTGAAGGCCCCTACATATGTTGAGCCATTTTCAGCCCGCTTTTGATGCATCCACATGGGATAACATCAGCCTGACCTTTGAAGTTGCATGGTAGACGTACCAGATGGATTATATGCTCGTCTACATCTTCATTCATTTGTTCCCCCCAACGACTCCGAACCCACGACATTCGGATACTAGGATCAATGACTGATAAACACAAACATTGTCATGCATGGTATGGGAACCATACCATGACATACATAGACAGGAAGTAAACACAGGAGAGTATACTAAAGTATACTTCATTGTATTACAGGCTTGGTTTCATTTTATGACAGATTTACTTGTACTTATATTTTCAGTTTGTTAGTTTCCATCAGTTTTCCTTCTCTTTCTTTTTCTAAGGCTTATTCAGCCATCAATTTACTCAGTGAGCTACAAATATGTTACTTAGTGTGTCATGTGACTGGCAATATGCTGATTTGTAAGGATCCTTCATGATTTATCATGCAGTTTCCATTTGTTTCTGTCTGTTTCCATTTCTCTCAGCCACAGATCCTTCAGTAAGCCATCAGATATGTTTGTAAGCATGTCATGTGACTGGCAATAGGCTGATTTGTAAGGATTTGTCATGATTTGTCAGGCTTTGTCATGCTTTGTCATGCTTTGTCATGATTTATCATGCTTTGTAATAGTATTTACTATTGATGTATATTAGATTGATAAGCAGCTGATTCAGCACTGCCAAATGGCATGGTTAGTAAGCCAGTGACTTACTAATGCTGTGATGAGTCATGCTTAGTAAGGGGGCCCCAAAAAGGTATAAAAGGAGCCCATCTTGCACCTAGTAATCATAACTTCCCACTTTCCACTCTTCTCTCAAACTGTGTGAGACCCAGTAAGATTCTGAAAAGTGCAGGCCAAATAGGTTGCCTTGAAGTAAGATCTAAGACATTTCTACTACTAGTTATATACTACCTAAACTAGAGGTTGACTATATAACACTGAGAAAACTTTGTATCACTGAAACCACAAGAAAGACAAGAAGAGGACACGTCAGTAAATCCTCCCAAGAACTCACACATAATCTACTGCGAAAACTAGAAAAGTCGTAGACCGTGTACTTAAGGACTGGCAAGTAGTCTTATCCCTGTATAGTTGTATTGTCACTATATACACGTTCCATATAAGACCCTTAAGTAGCAAGACAATGTGAGCAACCATACATTACTAAAGATATCGATGGACTCACACATGGCGACTGCATAGGCATTTGTGGCACCCATCCTCTCGTCATACTTATCAGCCCAACTTGAACCTATCTGGACAAGAGGGTCACAGTGTGGGACATGTTGGGCCAAAAGCTTCCAGCGCTTGATAAATGTTTTGAACACTGGAAATGCACCACTCAGCTTGGGAGTGCATTCACCTGACATGCATTGTTGGGCAGCATGGGGCGCCTGATATAACAAAATCAGATGAAGCGTGAATTTCGAATATACTAAAATTGACCTCTAGGATTACTTCAACATACTGTAAGAACTGTCACTTCATTGAACTCAGTTTGAATTTGCTGATAGAGCGTTGAGTGGGAGAGTCGAAGAATAAATCTATTGCCTGGGCAACTATTAGTCATGGCAGATGTTTAGTGGGTGATGCCTTACCTGGCGAAGGGTTCACAAATGGTTAAGCATGATATAGACTGAATCCCAGTGAGTTGCCTCATCAAGCAGGAGTTTGACAACAGGGAGCTGTAGTTTTGCACCCATGTCATCTTGAAACCACTCCTTCTCGTTACCTGTAACAATGGTGTTTCTGAAAGAATCATGTCACTGGTCAGATGCGCGAAGTGTGCACACAACATCCCTAGCTCTGCCAATAGCTTTCCCTGTCACAGCCTTGATATACTCCGCTTTTATGATAGTGCAATTGCCAATGACCCAATAGTCGGCCACAAGTGAATAGTCGGCTGTATCGTAATCGTCAATGATGTGTTTCACACATATATTAATGATGTGGGGGAAACACGGGATTCTGTGGTCAATGGGAGGGAAATCAATCCCCTGGGACTCAAGTTTATGCGACAGCTCTCGTATGGCAACCTGGTTGTTGGGGGTGTTGTCCAAGGTGAAATGACCAGTCTAAACAAAGTTAGAGCATGCTACACGGTGCAATTAAACACTAACCATCTTGGTCACACCAGCCAAATCCAGAAGATGCAATATTACTTCTGCTAGTAATTCTCCAGTGTGACTTCCTAGGACATGATGGAAGGCTATCAATGCTGCGTTCAAGATGAGGACTGAACTATGGTCTGCCCTGGCAATCCAGTGGGCGGTAACAGCCATGAATGGGCAAAGTTTAGAATCCGACCAGAGGTCCAATGTGAATGAGACTTTTCCCAAAGAAGCCTGAAGGATATAAGATGCTTTGTGGGGCTCTCAACAACTGTAGACCTACTGCAAGGTCCTTCTTCAAAGCATTGAAGTACTCATGGAAAGCATCAATGACCAATTCACGAACTTTGGTTTGATGAAAGACATCAGTCTCATTGAGCGATGGCCACAGAAGACGGATCAGGCGATGAAATTCCGGATATTCAATAACACTGATTGCCTGAAAACAATTACTAACTATAGTATGTAGAAAGTGCGCATCAACTCACCTGATCATTGGCAATGATAAATTTCACAATCTGTTTGTGCATTTCGTCCAGAGTAAAGTTAGGCAGTACGTCATCTAGAGCTGACAGGCTGGTACTGGTGAGTGAGCTAGGACTAGGGGGAGTACAGAGTGAGTCCAAGGTGTAAGCCGGATCCTTGAGCCGTTGATGCAAGGTCGCGATCATCCAGCCATCATCCAAAAATGTCTTCAAACGCAATGAAGCATGGATGTGCCAGTGGTGACACTCTGCCTCTTCCAAATAAATGAGGGTATGCTCGTTGAATGCATGTGAACGATGACCTGCAGTGCCTGTACTAGCAAGGTATGATACAACAGCATGAGTATTGTCACGAGCGTGGATTTCTCTTGCAAATGATGTTAGAAAGAACAATAGACTGCAGATACAATACTCACTCGCAGGCTATACAGATCCTAGACTGAGTGACAGGGTCCTGTCTGAAGAAGAAATGAACGTCAGCAGAGGATTTAGGTGGTTTAGCTCGGCCACCAGTGGCCAGAGGGTCAGTTCTGGCGGTATTCATTGCAGTCTGGAGTGGACTAGGGCATGCAGGAGGTGTAACTGTGAGTGCAGGAGGCGTAACTGTGAGTGCTGGAGGCGTAATTGTGAGTGCAGGAGGCGTAATTGTGAGTGCAGGAGGGTTGGCCGCTTCGTCTTCCTCATCATCGGAGATGTTCTAAAGGTGAAAGGATTCCCCTTCGTCTGCAGCAAGACTTGGACCATTATCTCTGAATCTAACAGGAAGCTAACGACATCTTGGGGGATTTTGAAGCATGGTTGCATTCGCTGCAGCAGCAATGGGAGTGACAGCAGGAGTAGCAGTAGGAGGAGTGGCAGCAACAGGAGCCGCAGTGGAAATAGCAGGAACAGGAGTGGCAGTAATGGGAGCAGGAGCGGCAGTAATGGGAGCAGGAACAGCTCTGGGAGCAACCCAGGAAGTGTTCTTCTGTTGAGGAGGCATGGTGGTGGTGAAGGATCTAACGACAGAATTACCTGTCTATATAGGTCTTCACCATGGGAAACCCCAGAACATGCCAACGTGCAGTGATTGCGAGTCCCTGATGGAAAAACCCACAGGTGTCGCTAGCGAAGTTGCTAGAGCCTTGATGTTTTAATGCTTTACATGAGTCAGATGAATGAGAGACTTCAGGAGTAAAAAAACTCACGTGATTTTGAGATATGGACATACTAGAGGCGATTGACTCCAACTTGACTGCAGAGGGCCCAGAGGCTCTCTAGATCACAACAAAATGAATGGGTAAAGGTCCTCGTGCAGACAGTGGTGACTGTGGCCCATGGGTGACCATGTAACTGAATGATCAAGGGAATCAAAAATCAGATCCTCATTTTCAGGCTTAATGACTCTTCAGAAAGTCACGATGAGTCTCTCATTGCTGAGTTGCGCTCCAGCCTGGAGCATGTTGAAAGATAAGAGGGTATGTTGTGCGTGGGAGTTGGAGAAATGAGATACCATCTTGATATTAGTAATAGACTCAAAGGCTGTGGCTCCTGCCGCTGCTATGAAACCTATCATGATAGTATCATTAGCTCGCATAGTATGCATATACAGTTGTATGTACAAGTAACAAGTAACACTATATAACGATGTCATGATATAGGAACTAGGCCATTGTCTGGCGTGGAGTTGAGGCAGTTGCATGCAATGGGGAGGGGTGATTATGTGGGCGTAAACTTGCAATAATGTCAGTTCAAAAGTGAGGACATAAAATGGACTACTGACACACAAGATGATCTACGAAGTGGCGGGCATGGACTTGGAGACACCACTTTGATTGCCCAGGGTTCATCATAGCATGGAAGGGGATGTGTGATAGGCACATCAGGCTTGCTGAAATCCAGCTGTGTGCTTGCTGGAGCAGGTGATGTAGAATGAAGTACATGAAGCAAGGAACGAAGGTGGTTGTAGTCAGGGTCCTCTGAGAAAGCGAGAGCGCACATGTAAATGAGAATTGTTGCAAACTGGACAGGAATTCCTTGACACAAAGCTTTGATGGTAGTGTTTACTTTGCAATTGAGTATAGAAGAGCTAGAAAGCTTCTCTTGGTCACTAGTTAACCATGGAAGAGAACCCTGCAAACAGTATATTAACATGTATGTGAGTGACTCAAGATCATCACGATGACCCAGTTCAACTCCCAAATGATCATTGATTGATGCAAATGCAGGAGTGCCAGTAAGACATTGACCTTGGTGAAATGGTATATGGACTCTGGTCGATGTATTCCAGAATTCCTTCGCAGTGCCAAAATTGATGAGAAAGGTGGTGTGCTTCAAATCGCCAAGGCCCACCGCAACATTCTGTGGTTTGATATCACCGTGAATATAATTATGCGAATGAATGTATTCAAGACATGAGAGCTGGAAAAGGGAGTGAGCAATCTGCATATACAATGACAATCCACACACCGACTGACTAGCTGGTCTCCTAGATTCACAACAGTGTCAAGGCTGAATTTTCAGTTGTGGGCAAGGAAGATATGGTGCAGTGATGGCCCAAGGAGGTCAAGAACCAGTGCGTGATATGCCAATTCCCTACCAAACCAAAGGGCATGGGGAATCCCAATACCACCTTCAAGGTTTTTCAAAATGCGGTATTTACACTGCACAGAAGATGAGTGGTTGACAGGTTCAAGCTTGATGGCGACTGCATTATTCTTGATGATATTCCATGCACAATACACGACAGCTAAATGGGGTCCAAATGTTAAATTAGCATGTAGTCAGTGATATGGGAATGACATACCGTATGAGCCAGACCCCAACACATCTCCCAGCCTAAACCTTCCATCAACTCGAATAGGGACCTTATCCATGGTGTATACAATAGCCTAAGTAGAAAAAATGTGAAATAAACTAACTGAGAGGCAATAAGAAAAGCGATTAATATTCTGCTGCCACTTTTGCATTTCAGCCTGAACTGGCTTAAGCCAGCTTAAAGTGGTTCAAGCTGAGGTTTACACATTTTTGGGTTGAAACTAGTTTGCATGGCTAACAAATTAGACCAAGTCAGTAATCAGTGGCTTGGCTCATGGTGATTGCCAAACTTCTTGGCAAACCGGCAAATACCAAACTGGAGCGGACCATAGCCGAGCCGCAGTACTACTAGTTATAGATCTGCGCAATGGACCTGTGCTTCATTTGCGCTTATGGGTGAGTACTGTGAATTTGGCATGCGCCAAGAGTGTCTTGTTGACGATTTGTATTGTCACGGTGAATAGCTGCACTGCTAGCAGTACTTTCCCTTCATGGTGTTGGCATTGTTGGAGACAAGAAAATTGTCAAGCATGTTGCTAGTGATCAGACAACAGCAGTGCAGTCCGAGTCCAAGGATGACTAGATATGCCCATTTTTGAACATATCTAGCAACTACACATGATGCCATGTTACTATAGTCCCACCTAGTGATGTTTTGGCCCGGCTTGGGCTCAAAGCCCCGGTGTGAAAAACACAACCTGACTAGGCACTTGTTAAGGTACTCAGCCAGTATATGTCTAATGCTCTGCCTATGTTGCTATACTTGCAACAAAGATGCAAGAACGTTTGACCCGAAAGAAAAGCTACTAAGAACAACTTAAGATCAAAAGACCCGAAAGAGTGCTAAAGCGCGGGAATAGCGCGTCGCAAGATAGAGCGCTAATGCGCGGGAAAGAGCGGAAGTCAAGAAAGCGGACACTGAGTCAAAGGAAGGTAATGGATAGCGGGTGAGATCAAGGGTATTGATTGCAAGGGTAAGGAAAGTCAAATAGGGGCCATAGAGCGCAACTAAAGGGGTGACTACTTCTAAGTAAAACCTAAGGGAAGGAAATACAGTCGAAGGGAAGTAATCTCGAAGTAGTCACCATAGGCTTCTTATACTAGTAAACTATACCATCTCGGACTCGGAAGGGATAGGATATACATGTAATAAGACTGTAGCACTTTTTACAACTCGAGGCAAGGCAAATTACATACCAATGAGGTAGGATGGACCATGGATGGATTCCGACGTTTCGGGTGGATCCTAGGGCGCGAGAACAGCGCGCTGGACAAGCGCTAGGCGCGGGAACGAGCGCTAGATAGAGCGGACAAGTGGTAGATAGAGCGGACAAGCGGTAGATAGAGCGGACAAGCGGTAGATAGAGTGGACAAGTGCTAATGCTCCTATAGACTCATTGCTGGTAGTTCTGATAGCGCTATAAGCGCGGGAATAGCGTCGGATAGTCGTGGGAGTATGAATAGCGCTGCAGGAATGTGCGCGCATAGTGCGGGAAAGTGCGGAATAGCGTTGGACAAGGGTTATGGCTGAGACAAGTGAAGACTGCTGATAGGGGAGTAGTGAATAATATGAGGGATAACTTTGGTCCACCTATTGAAGGCTTATGCAGGTATACATGCCTAGCGCCAATATGATTGTCACACACCGGCTTAGGCTCGGCCTGGAGGGGCTTAGGCTCGCCAGATTTCAAGCCTGAGCCATGAGCCCAAGCCAGCCCAAAGCCACAGCTTGGGCCCAAGCAGGCCGCGGCCCACACACTAAATTTTTGTGGGATGTGTGAACATAGTTATAAATGTAAAAATCAAAAATTTATACCGGATCAAGGCAACTGTTGTCGCATTTGTAGAAGCTACGAAGAGAGTGTTGAAAGCTGGTATTGATGTCATTGAAATTCACAACGCACACGGCTATCTGCTGTGCTCTTTTGATCTTTTGTTTGTAAGTTCTAATTACAATACCAGTGCCACTCACATTCCACGATGATAATCACCAGAAAAAAATCAGCGCATACATTCACCTAAAACACTCATCATACACGTCGTCTTCTCACTCTCTGTCTCAACAACACCTTTGTTTTTTCCCTTTGGATTCATTGAAGACTTAATAAATTTTGTATGCTGTTCAACTCACGTGAGTTGAACAGCATACAAAATTCAACAAGTCGCAGTGTCTAAGCCTAAGGCCCTAAGGTAAAGCGCTGATCAACTCACGTGATCTGTCGTTTGACTTTCTATCTTCAAGGCCAAAGTCTTCCCAACACAAGGTGACATTAATTAGAGTCGCAATAACTACAGTTCTAGGTTACAAATAGGACACAAAAATGTATTAGATTGTAGAGGCATATAACATTACTGCAAGGACTCAGAATGTGATCATTTTTTGGACCTGCAAATATCGATGTTTAGTGTGATAAAATGGTACAGAAAACTGGATGGAACACATACTTTTTGCAGTGACTGCTGTAGAACCCACTGTTGCACCTTTCCGCTTGCATTTGGAAGTGATGGCTCTGGCGTCATTGCCAATTTTGTTGGCATCTTTGGCTCTTGTTGATGGTCGTGTCGAGCGTGCTGAGCGTCTTCCAGGAGCAGAAAACGCAGGAACACTTCCTGCACCAGGCACACTAGAAACAAGTGGAAGACGATCTGAGCTGGCAGCGGCTGGAGTGGAATGTTCCAGTACAGGTGAGAGGGTCGCATTTGCAGTAGCAGAAGCATTGCCGACATCTGCCGCTGCAGTCAACTGAGAGACGGGTGTGACTGGCAGAGTATCCCCTTCGTTGCTAGCCATGTGAGGTGTGTCAACAGGAGGGAGTTGAGGAGACTTGGACAAAGATGATGGGACTGGGTTCAAGTATGGTCTGCGAATACGAGGTGGGGTGGATGAGTTGCCCACCACCAAGTTGTTCAGGCCCTGCATGGATGACTGGATAAGCGATCCAGCCATAACCGGAGGAGGGTTCATGACTGGTGGTGCAGGAGGGGGGGTTATGACTGGTGGTGCAGCCATTTGCATGTCCTGGCCTTGGCTGTGCCACCATTGGCCATTTGGTCTGACATCCGGCTGTGGACGAATCGAATTGAGGAACACATCAATATTAGCTTCAGAGACCGAAAAATTGGGGTCCAACAAAGATTCAGCAGGGACAGGCATGGGTATATGTAGTTCTTCTGAGTCGTAGTCATTTTGGGCGTGTAGTGACGCGAAGTTAAGAGGTGCTGGAGGAGATAGATAGGGAATCAGGGATTCAATTGAGACAGGTATCGTTGAAGGTGCGGGAAATAGATCGGGAATCAATGAAGATGAAGCTGACTCAGCAGAACATCCATCAATGTGACTAAAAACGCGTCTCAAATACTTTTCAAATGGCACGAGGTACTGCTCTTGAAAATTCGGGTAGAAGTCTTGAAGCTGAGACCGTCCTGACCTTTGCCATGGTGAAAACTGTAAGAGTAGGATGAGATCGAGTTGGCAATGATATTGACGTCCGTGTACATACCTTAGAGTCATGATATCCCCTTTACACATAGGGTCAGGACCCCCCATAATGAGGGTATAATGCCAACCCCCCATCAATTTCGCCAGGTCTTCGCAGATCTGTCCCAGGACAACAGGCAGCTCCTGAATAGCGCTGTTATTTAGCCCAATCAACAACCAACATGCATTATTACAAATGGAAAACAAAACAAAAACAAACAAACAGGTAAATTTCCTCTTTAGTGCGTTCATCTGACACTATTCCTAATTTCCTGGAGGTATTGATCTGCATGGTCTCCTCACGAATCTCCGCCTTCACTTCTTCTGATTCAGCCACAAAACAATTGGTTGTGTGCTTCTGCACAACAGCGATTCTCTTCTTGGCATCAAGCTTGTTTTCCTGGACCTCATCCTTGACTAGTGGCTGTACCTTTGTTTTGTAGTACGTTTTCGAGTAGACCTCAACATCCTTCAGGTTGCGGACACCGCGAGTACACTGACCCAGTAGCTGAGCAAAAGCTTTGCTTGTTGACATGTTGCTGGGTGTTGTTTTACTTTTTGCATTATTCCGAAACCATTCTTTTAATTTCTGTTACAACCTTTAGTGGCTACTCTTTAGGACCATTGATATGTGAACTTACCTTCTGCTGGATTTCATGTGCCTCTTCAAGCTCAGCTTCTTGTTCTGAGGTGAGTGGCAGTAGACCTCTCTCATCACTATTAACGACACCATTATCATCATTCTGATGAACAGGTGCCTCGCCTTCATGTGGAAGATTACCGGTCGGTTTCCAACAGTTTAAGTGTTCTGGAAACCGACTAAACCACCTTGGAAACATGAGCTCATAAAAATGAGTTATTTTTTGATCTTCTGCATTTTCAGAAACTCAGGTAGCTCGTTTTGAAGCCACTCGAGCTCTTCTGGCGTGGTCCATCTCCGAGGGGCCATTTACTCATGATGGTTAGTCCCGCCCCTTCATGATAAAATATCACACACCGGATATTTTTATGTTTGAGTTCGTCCATTTTGGTTTGGTTAGTTGGTGAGTTATTGGAAGCGACCTGAGATTCAACTGAGCACTTGATTTCTCCAGCCAATCACGATCTCAACAGATTCTTCCAAAGCGTCTAGACCAGCGAAAATTTCCCAGTTTCTCCCCACCCTTAACTTCCTAACACCAGTACTATACCCGTTTTTTCACAGACATGGACCAACACAATGGCTCCATCAGATGCGAATGTCATGGGCGCTGTGTGCAAATGCTACCGCACCCGTGCTTTACAATCAAGCAGTTTTTACAGGCCATCTATCTTGTGCAAAGCGGACAAGGTGAGTTCACTTTAGCAGCATTGCTATGGCTCTGATCACAATGGACTTCAATAGTTGGTCCAATGACCTCGCCGCAACTCATTGGTTGGGAACGCAATCCTGATAATGCTGATTGTTTGGTTCATGCTTTCCACTGTAGATGCTGCATTTATGGTTAGTGATTTAAATTTAGATTCAATATTCGGACTCAATGTTGAGCATACTGTACAGCCCAACAACCTCGTGATCAGGCTGGGTCACCAGTAACACCCGAGGAACACCTGCCCGACACTGAAGCGAACAGTCCATCATTGGAGAGTGACGACATCAGCTACACAGAGTCGCAAAGGATTCACACTTATTATGAGGGTAGTGATGATGAAATTTCTTCTCCTCGCGAAGAAGGCATCCCGGAGAAATGTCAATGGACCGGCGAGGATGCACCTAGCTGTGATGTTGAAGAGGCTCCTGGACATGAGGCGGACAATATATAATCAGTGTTTTGGACATAGTTTCCTGTTGCCTTTGTATTGTATATACTGTCAAGATCTACTGTGACTCGAATGTTTTGAATAGTTGAGATCGTCTCGGACGTCATTGTTGTTGTATTCGTCGTACCACATGATGGTGTCACCTTCATTCCCGTCCTCTTTCGTATCGTCTGGTTGCGCGATGTGAGTGTACAGTGAATGTATCAAATAATGATTGAGACTTGTAACTAACATTGTGGTTGTTCAAGTTGTATTCATCGTACCGCATGA